ACTACCTAAGGCTGGCCAGTGATGTTGTCCTTGCCCTCAGTATCCACTGTGGGAGTAGAGAGGATTGCTAGATATCATGGAAAGAATGTACCACAAAATCTTACTTTTAGCAGATCTGAATCAGACTTCCCCTGAGACGCAGTCATGGGTGGTGGAGTCAGGCAGGAGTCCAGTCCACTTTTACCATCCTGAAGGTGGTCAGGATAACAATGTAGATTTCCCTCCAGGTGACTGTCAGGCTGTTGTTGAACTTTACTCATTAGGGTGTGCAGTAGCAGCAGCAGCAGAGTCAGTGGCCCCACAAGACTGTCACACCTCTTGCTAGGCTGCAAATTTCGACACACACACTGGTTATGGATACATTAATAGGCTTGGCAGGCTGTGGCCCCACTGGTTTTTAAGACAGTTTAGACAATAGCCAGGCCAATTTACCAAGATGACAACTCTATACTATCCAGATATTTTTGTAAAGACATAGGCTTAGTCTTGTAACCATCTCCAACAGGTGCAGTTTCCACAGTTGCACACTTGTTATCACTATTTCTTATGCCTCTTTCTTTTTTTGGGGGGGGGTCCAGTCATGGGGCTTGAACTCTGGGCCTGGGTGCTATCCCTCAGCTCTTGAGCTCAAGGCTAGCACTCTACCACTTGAGCCATAGCGCCACTTCTGGCTTTTTTCTTTTTGCTTATGTGGTGCTAAGGAATCGAACCCAGGGCCTCATGCATGCAAGGCAAGCGCTCTACCACTGAGCCACCTTCCCAGCCCATGCCTCTTTCTTTTATCTATCAGTTTTTTCCAAAACTGACTCTGAAGCCTTGATCTTAAAAGGGGGTAGATGGGTGAAGGTCCATCTTCTGTAACTTCAAGCTGACTCAGGGGTGTTGATCCTACATAGCCAGGAACCTACAACCTTAGCCTATTTTACCAGGGTGGTTACCAGGGTTAGATGCATTAAGAACAATATTTTAACTTTTCATAACTGCACAGACCTTTTGGGGTGCTATAACAGTGTAACTTGCTTAGCACTTGGTTTGCAAAAGCATTTTTCTGGCTGGCTGAAGAAACTAATCTATTCAGGCCTTCAGACAGATATCAATAGGGACACATTCTCAGGTTTACAAACTTTCTTTCCTGAACAGATGAATTTTATGTAGCTGGTGTCAGCTCAAAAGTTACTGTCACTTAGGACTTTTGGCACATACAGAGGGTTGGAATTTTAAATTATCTCCTCTTTTATTACCCACTATCACAGATGACTGCTAAAGTTCTTATGCAGTTGTGAAGTAGACAGACATGGATATGCTTACAAACTATTTTCCTATGATCTCCTGGCTCTGATCAATTTTTGAAGGACCAAGCACAAACGACTCTAGGATCTGACATTATTTCTGGCATCCAAGCAGTGGCTTACTGCCTCTGGATGCTCCCTCACTGCTTTAGTTCCAGGAGTGTCTTCTCCATGCTGAGATAAATGCCTCATTGGCATTTTCCTTGGTTGGTCACTGGACTTGAACTCTGGGCCTGAATGTTGTCCCTCAGCTCTCTGGCTCAAGGCTAGCACTCTGACACTTTGAGCTCCAACTCTGCTGGCTGATTACAAGTGACAGTCTCATAGGGACCTTTCTCTGCCCGGGCAGGCTTCAGACCACAATTTCCAGATCAGTGAGTCTTATAAAAGGCCACTTAATCCAATTAAAAGAAATAAAGATGGTCATCAGAAATAGTTTTTTCAAGCATGGTCTTACCTGGAATTGATTAGGGGCCGAAAGTTATAGCTGACAAAGTTTTAAAAATCCTCACTCCTTTTTGTGGGCCTGCTGGGCACTGTTACATAAAACCTAAAAGAGCAAATTGAAATAGAAATAAAACAATTATTTTGGTAATTCTAATTTTTCCTTTTTGCACTTTGAGACAAATGTTAAGAACAATTTTACTTCCAAACTTTATATCCAGGAATCCATGCCTATATTTTTTTCCAGTCCTGGGGATTGAACTCAGGGCACAGGCATTGTCCTTGAGCTTCTTTTGCTCAAGGCTAGCACTCTCCTGAGCCCTTGCACCGCTTCTGGCCTTTTCTGTATATGTGGTACTGAGTAATGCATGACCACTGAGCTGCACTTCTGCAGCTCACCCCTCACCTCTAAAGATAGGTCTTCTGTTGGCTTCTAAGATTTTTCCCTTTTCTTTTCTCTTGGTTCATGAAAGAAACACACAGTTTTAGACAGACAGAACAGGTGAACACTTTGACAGTGTTAAACAAACTTTTTCATTTAAATTTCTAATATTTATCCCCAAATTTTAGTAGAGGGAACTAAATCCCCCAAAGCCAATATCTTTTTGTTAAGTCAGATAACTTGATTACAGTGTAAACAGCTTTTGCATTTTAAAAATACCAAATTTTAAAATACAGAATTTTTAATTTTCAAATTAAAGACTTCTTAGAAAGTCATTTAACTAAAGTTCCTCTTTAAAACGATAAAATAATCCTTTAACCCATTTGACATCCAAACCTGAACTCACTCATTTTTTTTACAACATGCTGACGATTTTCATCTTCAACACGTTCACACACACACATTCACTCACACAAATCTTAAAGTGCACAAAAATGAAAATCAGCCTTACATTTTCCATAATTTTTAGGTAACAAAGATTTAAGACAAGATTTCTTTTAAACAAAGTATCTTTGTTGAGGTTCATTTTCCCAAGGGCTTGCCTGGTTAGTAAGGCATTTGACCAATTTGCCTGTGAATACCTTCAGTTGGAGGAAGGCTGGGTGGGGATCACCTGAAACTGAACTGTCTTTCATTCAATTTTGTATACAAGAGCACTTTACTATTTATTTATTTATTTATTTATACTGTTCAGACCAGCCAAATGTCCAAGCGACGCTCACAGCTGTCTATGCCCTCACCTCTGGCTGCCTCTGCAGGGAGATGCAGCCTAAGGCTTGAAGGGAACCATGTAAATCATGCAACCTTCCATGCCCCACCCCTTTACTGCTGCAACACAGGGACAAAACAGCAGGTCTACGGGTTGGGAGAAGGTCTTCACTAGCCATACAACAGACAAGGGTCTCATATCTAAAATATACCTGGAAATCAAAAAATTAAATCCACCACCAACAAATCCTCAAAGAAACAACTGCCCAATAAATAAGTGGGCTAAAGACTTACAAAGAAACTTCTCTGAAGAGGAAAGAAGGATGGCCAATAGACACATGAAGAAATGCTCAATCTCTCTAGCCATAAAAGAAATGCAAATCAAGACAACATTGAGATGCCACCTCACCCCAGTTAGAATGGCTATAATCAAGAACTCTAAGAACAATTGATGCTGGAGGGGATGTGGACAGAAGGGAAACCTACTGCATAGTTGGTGGGAGTGTAAACTTGTTCATCCACTTTGGAAAGCAGTATGGAGGTTCCTCAAAAGACCCCCCACCCACCCATTTTTCTCCTCTAGGCCCTGTGCCTTTGATGCTAAGTGTCAGAATTGGTGGAATTTGCCTATGGCTTGCTGTCTACCCAGCGGATTGTATCAAATATAGAATTCAAGTCCTTTACAGGTGGACCTGTTGCAACAATGAGAAGTACAATGTTGGTGGGGAGGGTTGGTGCGGGGGAAGGGGGGAGGTTTACAATGTTGGGGGGAAGGGGGGAGAATTGGGGGGAGGTGGGGGGGAGGCTGGGAAGGGATGTGAAGGGTAAACAAAGGAGGAGGCTGCAATGCTTGATAAGAAATGTACGCATTATCCTGCCCATGTAATTGTAACCCCTCTGTACAGTATGTTCACAAAAAAAATTAAATTTAATTAAAAAAAAAGAATTTAAGTCATTTCCATGTCTGGAAAGCAGGTAGGGTTTGTTGAAATCTTTCTTAGTGTTTTGAAAACTGAAGGTGAGTGTGTTGAGTACAGAAACAGATTAGGCACACCCAAACAATTGGTTCTTTTGTTGTTGGTCCTATCAACTACCCCCTAATACCTGGGCAGGGGTTTGGCATGATTTTTTTGTTCTAAATGGCCTAAATGGATTGTCGAAGATGTGGACTTCCTATGGTTTGAAGGTAACATCACTTGTTCTTAGAAAGTATAGATCTATGCAAACATAATGTGTAAGAGGACCAATAAGGGTTTACAGAAAGTACAACATCCTTAGTGATGACATTTCTGAAGTCAGAAATAAGCAAGCAGCTTCTGAAGTGACTTGTGAACAACTTTTAGAGTTAGGCAGGAGAATAATGACTTTAAGTGTTAACTTGTATAGTAACCAACTCCATGGAATCTGTGAAAACCTGTTCTGGCAGCCATTATATATTTTAAAACTTTGGTTAGGCTGGGCACTGGTGGCTCACAACTGTAATCCTTACTACTTGAGAGGCTGAATCTGAGGGGTGTAATTTAAAGCCAGCCTGGGCAGGAAAGCTCAAGAGACTTTTTATTTCCAATTAACCAGCAAAGGGCTGAAAGTAGAACTGTAGCTCAATTGATAGAACGCCAACTATGAGTACAAAAGCCCAGGAATAGCAACTAGGTCCTGGGTTCAAGACTTAGTATTAGCACACACACACACACACACACACACACACATACACACACACACGAATTGTTTAATTCATGCCCCAATAGCACACAAACTCTACTTAATACTAGTAACCCCCAACTTCCTTAAGTTTGCACGACACTATAGTTTTACAAAGTACGCATGTTTCCCTTATCCAATTCATCCTCAAAGCCTTCACTGTTGGTGCTCTTGCTGTCACCTATGGCTCCAATTACCTCTTTCTGGCCATGGTAGGCCTTGCTGCTGCGCCATCCATTTCCCAGGAGTTAGCCAGGCATGGAAATGAACTGTTTTGCCCCTACCATGAATCACCTTTGTGAGAAGGCCTGATCCTTGTCTTGTTTTGACTATTTTCCTTAGGGATACCTGGAAATAAATTCTTTCTTCACTTGATGGGTTTTATAGCACATGACTATCCCTAAGGGGATTCTCACAGTCTTTCATCACCATTTTGTCTCCTAGGAATAACAGTTTTATATTCTGGATTGAAACCTACTATGATTCGAGCATTCCCTGCCAATGACTCACTATTTTTGGCCTATGGATACAGCAGGAAGTTGATGATGAGCTAGCTGGAAACATACTGAAGTGTCCTAGTGGATCTGGATCCACTAGGATCTGGATCCAAGCACAGGCATTTAAGAACTACTATTCATCTCAGGGTTTCATGGAATTACTTTCATTTATGGAAGATTTTGCCCATCACCTCCCTTCTTGTACCCTACATCCTAAAACTTTATGACAGAGCCTCTATTTTACATAATATAACTTGTGCCCATGATTGTTCTACAAGAGAAAACTTGCTGCTTTTGTTGTCCTTGATGAAATAACCATCTGGCTGGTAGCTTTATGCACTTAATTTGAAAGGCCAAATATACTTCTGCCAGGGCGTGATTTCTGCATAAAGCTACATAATATACACATGCAGTTTGTATGGTTATATACTGACAGAAGCACCATTTGCTTAGTGTTTCATTGCAAATATAAATAGCAGAAACGAAGTGAACAAATGAACAAAACAAACAAAAAATGTTATGATACACAGAGGGATTTTAAGACTGAGACTTTAATCACATCAAAGTCTGGAACTTCAAAGTTGAAGTTCTTACAGCAACAGTGACTAGGCCCCCATATGCAGCTTCAGTGTGAGCAGAACTTGATATGTGTGTGAACAGCGTGAACTAGTCACAGGTGCTAAGAGTTTGAATTTCCTCATTCTTACTTGGTTAAGCTTGGTGCTGGCATCTGCTGTGTTTAAAGCTGGTCCCCAAAGAGGGGAGCACATTCAGGTCACCTGAACAACCACAGTGGAGCACCTCCCTCTACATGATAACCCCAGCTTTTCCATATATAGTCATCCATAGGTCTAAAAGATCATTCCCATCAGATTTAAACAGCTCCTTTTTCTTAAAAACCCATGAAGAGCTTTAACAGGCAGAAGAAAATGTAAATCCCTCTTCAAAGAGCAAAAAAAAAGGAGTTTAAAGACAAAACATAACTAGCATCTAATCTAGCATTTTGTCAGTTACCTTTTCTCTACATAGTAAGTTTCCAAAGGTATTTCCCGTCAGTCCTCGTTTCTGGTTTCAGTGGCCTTTCTGAAGAAATAAAAACAGAGTTCAATATGTGGAAAACTATCCCAAAAGTCCCAAGGAACTAAAATGGTACTACTGGCTCTGTGCAAGTCCACATTTTACTTGAAAAGCCAAACTCTTCACTGTGTGCTTAGTCTACTATCTCCAACTCCATCCAGTGCCTGGAATTTTGAAGTTAGATAATCACCAGGATATGGATCGATGGGAAGGCAGGGATAGGGATGCCCACTTATACCTCATTTCAAAGCATAATCCCACAACATCATAACTCCAAATTTAATCACTTGAAAATACTATCCAGAGAGCAGTACACAACAAGGTCCCTGGCAAGAAAATGTAATCAGCGCCTAACTCAGTATTGTTGACTCTTAGAAGCAGTGAAAAGCCGAGCACCTGTCTTCATGTAGGTTTTGTTTTCAGAATGATACTAGAAGTTTCTTAGTGCTGCACAGTAGCAATACATGTCCTAGCTGGTGAGCAGCCTTCAACCACCTCTTCCATTAAAGAAACCAAAGTCAAGACTGGGAGGAGGAAAGCAGCACCAGAGAGCACAGGGCCCCTCTCAACTCCTTGTTGTGTGAACTGCATGTGAAATAAGGCCAGTTATTTAACACACTTCTCCTGGGATGCTTGGCCTCTCCCGCCTTGAAATCCATGAGCACTCCCAGTGTGAAGGTGTCTCCTATACTCGAGACATGTGTAGCTGGAAAGTAAAAAAAAGCTGATGTTTTAGTGACCTTCCTCCATCCTCCATCACCCCAGTCAGACCGAGAGGCTCACAGTGAACACAGGTGCGGGTAAAGTACATTCAGGGAACTACAGTTCCTGAGGTCCTATTCTGCCCTGAGTTAACTAAATGAGCAGAAGATGTTTGTCTTTGTGAAGACAAATGGCAATCAACAAAACAAAAAAAAATGAAGCAGCAAAAAAGATAGTACAGGCATACACTGAAGAGGAGGCAGTACAGTGTATAACCAAGAGTGACCAGGGAAGACGGTACTGAAGGTACCATCTGAGTAAGGGAGGTGAGGTAAAGGAGGTCAGCCAAGCCATGTTCCAAACGGAAGTAAAGGATGTTGTCAAATCCTGAGTCAGGAAGATGCTTGGCCTGAAAGGAGATGAATGTGACAGGAAAGACACCTGTAGGCCAATAGAAGGGCTCTTAGTTATGTTTGTAATCCAGGTACTAGGAACAGGTCTAAAGCAGGGAATCTCTCTGGCCCTACTGAAGAAAGCCTGTAGGAAAGCCTATCAAGAGATGCACCAATCACCAAGTTAGCAATTACAGAGGCATGGAGCAAGGGCAGCTAGAGAAAAGATAAGACATGGAATCTGTACATACAGTGTGTGCCACATGATACTGCTTGGGTGAATGATACAAGGGTGGTCTCCCCTAAGGTTATATGACCCAGTGAGATCACAGTAGTATTAGCTTATGTTAAGTACATTCTGATGTTCCCACAATTATGAAACTGTCTAAAGATACCATAATGAAGAACACCACTTATTGCTATATTGAAAATGTAAGATGACTAATAGTTTGTTGATCAATCAGATGTGGGAAAGAGAAAGAAAAAGGAAATAATGAGAAATATTTCCAGTAATTTGGAATACTGACAAAATATTACTGACAAGCAAATTTCTTAAGATGAGACAAGAATACTGTACAAACTCGTCCAACAAAAAAATAAAATAAAAGCAGCCTGCAGGAGAGCTAAAAGAAGTATAAAAGAGACAGAAAAAACAATAGAAAAATAGAGCTAGGAGTATAGCTCAGTAGTAGAGTACTTGCCTAGCATGCAAGCAACAAAAGGAAATAAAAAGTAAAGAAACAGGTACCTCTAGAAATTCTGTAGAGGAATATGAGTGTTAAAGATGAGTTCATGAGTCTACTAGAAGGGTGGAAAAGGACTTCACATGAAGAGGTGAAGCTGTTGGCAAAACACACATTGGGAAGAATAAGATGTCCACCAGCAAACTTACAGAAAAGAGTAACAGCGAAGGTAGGGTGTGAGGGCATGATAAGCAACTGTAAATCTAAGCTATGGAGTAGCCTAGCTCTCATATACTCTTCTGGGTAGCCTCCCTCCTTCACCAGTAAAACAAATCCACATGCAACATGCCTGCCAAAATGACAAATCTGCTGTCCTAGATATCCCTTCCACATCGTTCAAGATTTATAAGCACTGACTGTATATATAGAATACCAGTTCAGAATAAATATCCACTCATATACTTCTTTCCAGATCCCAAAGACTATGTTTCATGTTGTATTAAGTGGGATTGAAGTGTATTAAGTGGGATTTGGTCCCCAGCTTCAAGAACGAAGAACAAACTCCTACTGGCATTTATTCACCTTTTCTCTAATAAGTCTTGTTATAGTTAATAGTTTTATTTCTTTTTTTTTTTTTTTGCGCTATTACTGTGGCCTGAACTCAAGGCCTGGACACGGTCCCTTCCCTTTTTGGCTTAAGGCTGATGCCTGAACTCAGGGCCTGGACACTGTCCCTTCCTTTTTTGGCTTAAGGCTGATGCTTAAAGACATCCAAGGACAGGGCCCAGGCACAGAGTTCAGGCACCAGAACTGGCACCAAACAATAAAAATTAAATTCTTAAAAAAGAAACTACAGGGACTGGGAAGGTGGCTCAGTGGTAGAGTGCTTGCCTCACATGCATGAGGAACTGCATTGGATTCCTCAGCATGACATAAACAGAAAAGCCAGATGTGGCACTGTGTGTCAAGTGGTAGACCACTTGCCTTCAGCTGAAGAGCTGAGGGACAGTGCCAGGGCCCAGAGTTCAAGCCCCACAACTGGCAAAAAACTATAAGGGCATGGCTCAGGTGGTAGAGCTCCTACATAACAAACATAAGGCCTTGAATTCATCCCCAGTATGCCTCCCTCCAAAAACAAGTAAGCTATAAAAGGAAAGAGGAAAAATGGAAGTAAAACCTTTTTTTTTTCCTGAAAAATATTAGCCATTATATTGAGACGCATTTCTCCCATAAAAATAGGCAGGCATTGTGATACACATGTATAATCACTAGTATGAGTCAGTGACAGCAGGAACTCAAGTTTGAGGCCAGCCTGAGGCTGCATAATGAGACCCTCTCTCAAAAACTCAAAGGGGCAGGAATAAACAATGACACGGACGTAACAGTTTATACATTTATTCATTGTTAGGCTATTCTATAAACAAAAAATAATTTGCTCAAAAGTGATAAAGGGGGCCATGTGGGATATTAGCTATTATGGTTGCTGGCTATTATATACCACTCATTCCTGGGAACATACAGAGATACTGTGCTACAGGAACTTCATTTTTAATAAACATTACTACAACACCCAAAAACGATTTATGACATCTCAAAGTTGTGCCAAAGAACAACACCACCTGCCGGGTTTTCAGTGGCTCATGCCTGTAATCCTAGCTACTCAGGACATTGAGAGCCAGACCCAGGCAGAAAAGTCACCATGAAACTCATCTCCAATTAACCATCAGAAAACCAGAACTAGAGTTGTGCTGCAAAATGGCAGAGAGCCAGCTTTGAGTGAAAAAGCTCATGAACCAGTGTGCAGGTCCTGAGTTCAAGCCCCACAACCCACCAAACAAAACAAAACAACACAAAACACCAAATATCAATTGCCAGGTATTTCAAGTCTATCACTTGTAACAGTTCTGATTCATATCATACTATGAGAATGGGACTAATGGGGACAAGAGAAAATCCTCCAGCCCAGGTACCCATCTTATCATAAATTAAATGATAATTAGCAACTCTGTAATGGAATTAATACACAGGAGTTTTGCTGTTTTTTTTAAGATATATACTTAAAACTTAAAAACTTTTTTCAATATAAATCTATAGGAAGTTCCAAAAACATTACAGAACTCTATATACCCTTAACCAAAATACTAACAATATAATACTAAGTAGATTACAGACTTATAAAGACCTATACAGTCATAGCACTATAATCAAGATACCAGACAATCCCATCTGCACAAATGAACTCCTTGGGTCAACTCACCTTCTTAGGAATGCTGCACTCTACCCAGTCACTGTCCCAGCAACCACTAATTTTGTTCATTTAACTTTGACATTTTAATTATACAAATGTGATCACACAGTATATAACCTTTTGGGACTTTTATTAAACACACCAAAATACCCCCCAAGGTCTCTCTAACCTGTATTTATTGAGTCTGTTCCTTTTTGACACAGAGGAGTCATCCAGGAGAATGCTGATTTGTTTAGCCATTTACCCATTACGAGACATCTGGTTTGTTTCCAGTTTAGGACTTTTACAAATAAAGATGCAATGAAGCTGTACAGGTTTTAGAGCCCAAACAGGTTTTCATTTGTCTGGTATAATGTCTAGAAGTGCAAGTGTTGGGTTGCAGAGTAAATTAACTTCATAGAGAAATTTCCAAACTCTTCTCCAGTGTAGATATATTATTTTACATTCCTATCATCAATCGATGAGAAACCATTTTGAATCCTCAACATTCTATATGTTCATTATTTTCCCATTAGCCATTCTGATAAATGTGTGAAGTCATATTTCCTTGTGGTTTTAATTTGAATTCCCTATGACTTACGAAGTGCAGCATCTTTTCAGTCCTCACTTGCTATTCGTATTTTCTTTTCAGTGACACGTCTATTAAATTCTTGGACACTTTCTAATTAAAATGTAATCAGAAAGTTTTCAGTATGCTGTTTTCCACGCTGATGAAGACACTACAGCTTGCAACTAATTTCTAAATATGTAGCTTGTCTTTAAAATTGTTTTTGCAGAACAAAACATGTTGACTTTGATGAAGTCAAATACCAAGTTTTCTTCTTATACACTGTGCTTTTGAAATCCAAAAAACATTGAAAATGATTTCCCCATGACTTTTTTCTAATTTTTTATTACAATTTTACATCTTGCATTTAAATCCATGATAAATTCGGAGAACTTTTGTAGAGATGTAAAATTTAGGTTGAAGATTTGGGGCTCTTGTTTTTGTTTGACCTGTGGATACCAACTGCTTCAGCCTCCTTGTGTGCATCTTTCTCCTTCCAGTTCCACGTTACTGCTAATACAATTCCCATGACTTCTGGCTTTTGTAGGAAGTCTTTGAACATGCATCCTCCAAATGTTTTAAGTAATTGCATATTGGGTACCAACTTTTTTATTTTAGAGAAGAAAGTTTTTCTATAAGGTCTTTCTTCTCTTGGGTCAACTCCTGCAAAAACTCTTGGTTTTGCTCGACTCTAATCGCTGACAACAGACACCTGACTGCATACATGATCCACATAGACAGAGAGGGCAGAGCCTGGTTACTGAGACCTGATAACAACGACAGCACTTCCTCCTAGACAAGGCCGGTTCTTCCTTTCGTAGGATCCTGGGCAGCTCCACCAGCGATTCGAGGCACGAGGTTCCACATGGGTCGGAACATGGACTCTCTCATACTCTGAGCTCCTCGGGGTGCAGGCGGATTGGAAGCAGGTGTAAGCTATGGCCAGTAGTCGTGTGTTTATCCTTCAACGAAGCCTGGAGCCAGCACCTGGTGGGCGGCCTGGGTGCGCACGTCCACGTGGGACGGCGGGACGGCGAGGGAAGGGTGGGAGAGCACCGGAGAGCGCCGTCGCCAAGGCCGCGGACAGCCGGAGATCTCCACCCGGGCCTTCCTCCCATCCCACCCCAAGATGACGATGGGGAGAATGCGGATGGTTCGGCCCACTGGGCCTTCACAGCCACTGCGCCCATCTCCTCTCCAGTACTTGCAACTCTGGAGTTACTCCCCTCCTGCTCCTCAGGCACCCCAAACACAGACCCATCGCCTCCTCCTTATCGGGGCTCAGCGCATGGCTGAGACAAGCCAGGAAAACGTCGGAACTGCCATCTTGCCCACACCGCTCCGGTGCGCGCCTCAGCACCCTCTGACCAACCCCAAGCCGACCATCCCACGGCCCGGCCTTCCCTTGCGCATGCGGACTTACGCAGGTACGCGTGCGTGCAGGCGCGCGCTCAGCTTCTGGGGCGCCGCTCCAGGCCCTCACCCGCACTCACGCCCACCCTGGAAAGATTTATGCCTTACAGCTCTTGTCCGACCGATTACAAAAGTTTCAAATACTGCCTGAAAATAAAGTCCAGGTGAAGAGCGACATGGGGTACATGCCCATAATCCCAGGAAGCCGATCACTGGCTTCCAGGCTAGCCTGAGCCACGTATAAGACTATTTCAAAAACAGGACAGATATGGCTGGTGCCAGTGACTCCCACCTGCGATCCTAGCTACACAAGAAGCTGAGATCCGTAGAGCATGGTTCGAAGCCAGACCCGCCCGACAAGTCACCGTGAGCTTCTTATCCCCAATAAATTACTCAAAAATTGGAGTTGGTGCTGTGCCTCAAGTGGTAGAGAGCTAGCCTTGAGCACAAAGATGCTCAGGGACAATGCTCACGCCTTGAATTCAAGCACACAACCGCCCAAAAAACAAAAAAAAAGACAGGATAGTGAGAGGAGGTGTGTGCATAGAGTCTAGTACTTGTTTTGTTTTGTCATTAACAAGGAAAGGAATACTTAATTATCTTTAAGTAGTCGTACAAAGGGGTTTCAATTCAACAAATCTGTTTATGAATACAATTCATCCTGATCAATGTCACCTCTTCCATTGTTCTTCATCTTTCATAACCCCACCCATATCTTCAAGTTGTATGGTTCCATTATTTTCATGAATGTATCATTGAATGTAATGAAGGTATCTACCCATTCAAGTACAGAGTTTTGACTGGCCCATTTCAGTGTGTAGTATCATGAATTTGGGATATTGATATTTATTACAAACTAGAACTAATATTCTCTCTTACATTTTTAATACAATAACCATTAGTATATTATTGTATCACCCCCTAAAAAATTAATTCAAGGAATCTCTTTCTCTTCTTTAATATAGTATCCACAACTTATACTGCATGCATGCAGTTTCCAATGCCAATAAAGTGCTTGCCTAGCAAATTCTAAATACTTTAGTAATTATCCCAATTTTTTTGCCATTGACGCTGAAGATAGCAAGAACAAAAGACATGTATATGTAGCTTGGTAGGGGATAAACAGGTACAAAACTGCTTTTTGTAAGTGTCAAGTCTTAACCAGCGTAAATGCAATTAAAGAGTCTAATTTATATAAAGGGAAGTGGCTATATGATTGTATGTAAATTTTACATAAAGCAACAGTCACTTCAACATATTTTAATGTAAGAAAGTTAAAGACCTCTATAATGAAAACTAAAAGGTTGAAGGAATTAAAGAAAGCAGCAGAAGATGAAACATATGTCCCAGACTGGAAGATTAGTGTAAAAATACCTAAACTACCAAAAGCAATATACAAATTCAATGTAAATCCCACCAAAATCTTAATGTAGAAATAAAAATCCCTTGAAGAAACAAAAAGAAGCCCTAAGGTTCATATGGAAACATCAAAGATCCCAAATAACAAAGTAATCCTGAGCAGAAAGAGCAATGCTGGAGGAATCACAGTACTGAACTTCAAATTATATTATAGGAGCCATAAGTAGCAAAAACAGCATGGTACTCAAAGACCAATGGAACAAATCAAAGACAGAAATAAACGCCCACACCTACTGCCTTGTAATTTTTGTACTTGATAAATACATACAAATTATATTTGTCAAATTAGATAAATACTTTTAAGAGAAAGAAATAAAAAGTAAACACTAAACAAGTAATCCAATTAATAAATGGACAAATGAATTGAAGGAACAATTCTCAAAGGAAGAAACACAAGCAGCCAATAAATAAATACATGAAGGGATGTTTGACATCCTTAGCTACAAAATAATACGAAAACTATACTGAGATTCCATCTCACTCCAGTCATAAGGGCAATCATCAAGGAAACAATCAATGTTGGTGATGACAAGGGAGGTAGGAAGTACGGACGGCTGTTGATAGGAATGTAAACTAGTGTAACAACTATAGAAATCAGTATGGAGGCTCCTCAAAATACTAACAGAAGACACTGTACAAAAAGAAATGTATTCATTACCTGACTCATGTAATTGTAATCCCTCTGTACATCACCGCTATAATAGCAATAAAGTAATTTTTAATACTAAAAATTAGACTGACATTTTGACCTTGCTGTACTTGGGTAATCCAAAATATTGTAAATCAACACACAGGAGAGATATCTGCACACCCAAGTACATTGTGCCACTGTTCACAATAATAGCTGAGCTATACTATCAGCCTAGGTGATCCAAAAACCAATGAATGCGTGAAGAAACTGTGGTAAATATTGGGCTGGGAAGGTGGCTCAGTGGTAGAGTGCTTGCCTTGCATGCGTGAGGCCCTGGGTTCGATTCCTCAGCACCATATAAGCAGGGGGAAAAAAGCCAGAAGTGGTGCTGTGGCTCAAGTGGTAGAGCGCTAGCCTTGAGTTGAAGAGCTGAGGGACAGCGCCCAGGCCCAGAGTTCAGGCCAATGACTGGACCGCCCCCCCCAAAAAAAAGAAACTGTGGTAAATATAGACCATGTAGTATTATTCAGCCACAAAGAATGAAATTATGTCATTTGCAGAAAAATGGGTGGAACTGTAGACCATGTTCAAATAAACCAAACTCAGCTAAATATAACTATGTAAAACATAAACTATGTAACTATGGATGGGTATGAAAATAGGGGAGGGATAACATTGGAAGGGGTAACATGGTCAAGAAGCTTTGTGTTCATAACCTGACTTATGGAACTGTAACCTCTTTATACAACTACTTAATAATAGCAAAATTTTTTAAATAAAACATTTAAAGCTACGTATAGCATGTGTTCATTCATATGTAGAATCTAGACCTAAAATAATGATAATGATGATAATGATGATGATGATTACCACATCAGTATAAAAAGGGTATTTGTCTGGGAAGGGGTCAGCAGGAGGGGGTAGGAAGATAAAAAGTATTTAGAGATAAAGAGAATCACAGTACATAATACAATGAAACCCAGTGACCACACTTTAAACCTAGAGAGAAAGAGGACAGTAGAGGGGATAAATTTGTTCCAAGTACCCAGCACATATCTATACAATTATCAGATTGAAACCCTCTAATACTATGCATGTAGTCTAATAATACTAAAATATATCAAGGAAATAATTAAAGAAAAATGTTTAATTATTTTTTAAATTAAAGGAAAAAGTACCTATGATTTAATTTAGTTACCAGCTTTCCCATTACCATTTGTAGACCTTAGGAACATACCTTACGTACATACATTGTCAAAAGCAAGAATATGTGCTAGTCCCTATTTTGCAGATGTTAAAAATGACATAGGGAAGTTTACACGAAATATGTGTCCAAGGACCATGGAAGAAAGCCTTTTTAAACTTTTGTTACCTTAAAAATGTTTTTTAAAGAAAAAATTTCTGTAAGAAAAATGCCTGCTATGTGGCACATTCTATTAAGACAGAGTAAGATGAGAACAAATCTTAGCCAACTGACATTTTAGGAAATGAACTATATTTCTGACTAATCCCATTTCTCAAAACACAGCAAAAAAAGTCTTTGAAGAATGTGATAGTCCCAAATCTCCTGACAAAGAAACCAAATAAGAGTACTGGTCTCAAGCACAAGACAACAATTACTAATGAACAGTTTACAAAACTGAAAACTTAATACCACCTAACTCCATTCTATCTATGAAAGAGCTTGTGTCCCACACCTTGACATGTAAATGTTCTCTGCTCATTCTTAGCAAAAGAAAGTGTAAAGACACTGCAGAACAGAATTCTATGCCAATGGAAATCCCTACATTTTCTTGCTCCTACAATCCTGTGTGAAAGTATTCAGAAGTAACCCTTTGCAGTTAGTGAACTATTAAATACACAGAAACGTCTAGACTACAAAACAAAGATGAAAAACTCCTCCAATACCTCTCTTCAGAGCTTGTCCTCCAGTGAAGGTTGCACCTACCCAGGAACTTTCCTAAACTGCATTCACCAGACTCTACCCTAGGATACCATCTTCAACTTTTCCAAACAACAGGCAAAAACTTTCCTGCATCTAAGGCTAGTAAAATGTGATGCAGGGCGACTCCATAGGCACCTGCCTTCCATGTGAGAAATTTCAACCTGGCCACAAAATCCACAACAGAAATTCCCTCTTCTTATCTAAACATAGCACCAGCGCTGCCATACATAATATTCCTAGACATGAAAGGGCTTTCTTGCTTTTCTCTATACATCTTCCCCCTTTCTTCCTTCATTCCCTATTTCATGATCACCAGAGCCCTGCAATCACTATGGCTTCTGCAACTCAGCCACAGCCAAGCTATTTCAGCCAATGCTTCCTCCCATGCAGCTTCCACCGACCTAGGGCCTGGGCCTCTCAGGATCAAAGCACAAGGCCACTCCAAAGATTCTCCTCCCCACTGCTCAGATCTATTTCATTCAAATCACTTCCTCCCCAAATCTAGGTGGGTCATGTTCACAAGAGAGCCCACCTGAATTCTTCCAAGTTGTCATTGGCATGAAAAAATGATAGGAAAGCTAACAACTGGTTCAAATCAAAGGCAATTCAAGAAAGGTAATGCTTAAATATACTGTGTGATCCTCAGCTGGATTCTGTGCCAGGAGAACAAAGCTGCTTTTAATTAAGAACATTACTGAGAAGCCAATGAA